CACACACACACACACACACACAGACAGACAGAGAGAGAGAGAGAGAGAGAGAGAGAGAGAGAGAGAGAGAGAGAGAGAGAGAGAGAGAGAGAGAGGATATGCTGAACAAATGCTGTCGCACATGCCGACCACATAGATGTCATCGGAGGTGCGCGTGGGAGATGCTCCCTTGACATGTTGGTATTTGCGCTGTGCTCTTGCTGCAGCTTGGCGATGCTATATTTTGAAGAGAAGCAAGATATTGCACCTTCTCACACTGCTAGATTGTGTCTTTTTATCTGCAGACAACCGGCCTGTTCATCCATTCGCCATGAAGAGCAAAGAAACAGATTAAGGACATGAGACATTACGTTGTGTCATCTCTGTGATCATCTGATGTTTATTTGGACCATGGCATGCCGCACCTGGCCCTGGACACCGGCCATTCCAGATGCAGACCTGGGTCTGGATTCCATCTGAACATACGGATGTGACCCGGTCAAGGGGAGATCCCCCAAAAAGTATGTTTGTTTTCTTTCTGATCTGTTTCCTGGGATTTTGCTTGGAGTTTCATAATGCAAGGAAAATGAGTGATAGCGAAATGATAAAATCCAGAGTGCAAAATCACATTAAGAGCCAGCGAGTCCAACGCTGTGCAGAAAGCAGAAATGCATCGATATTCTACCAATGGAAAACCAAAGCACGGAATCCGAATGTGAATGAGAGCATACTCTGGTCATCACCAACATATGTATCTAGAGCCTTTCCTCCTACTTGGGGCTCAGCGCCCAGCCTACTATCACACAGCTACTAGCAGCGTACGAATTGACAATGCATCCTGTTGACGTGAGTAGCAACAACTGTTGTACATGAAGATGTCGACCTTGTAGACCATCGCCAAGACCAGGTATGGGCCCTCACATCACAACCGCATCTCTCTCTCTCTCTCACCCTCGACTTCTATAACCCACGTCTTCCCTCTCATGCACGAAAACCACCACCACCTCCACCGGCTATGTCCAACCCAAGCCCGACTATGGGGGCTGGCTATGGCACTGCCCTCAGCAGTGCCCTTCACCCTGCAAGCAGCCAGCAAGCGATCTCTCCAGCAGTGGTGCCGCCCGCAATTGCAAGTGCCCGAATCTCGCGGCTGGAGCCCAGCCCTTTCCTATATGTAAAGTGGCGGGCGCTTTCCACTTGCTTCCCACTTGAGACCGAGTTTCCAGCAGCTTCAGTCTCGGCCAAAGTGTCTGCACCCAGGCCCGTTTAGACAGTGGCCTGGGACCCAATTGGTTTGGCATGCCCAACCACCCAGGCACAAAAGTGCGGTGCTCCCTGCTTCGACCACGTTGCTGGAAGAGCTTGGAAGGCTTAGCAATATCTTGGATTCTCACGAGCAAGGCGGATGTAACCAACTGGCACGTGGCAACTGTCTGGCGCCGACCAAGATTTGCAAAAATTGGAGCGCATTGAGATTCAGGGAGCCCGCCTTCACTTAGGGCGGGCACGCCCCTGTGGCAGGGCCCTAGGCATAAACCCTTGCGCTCCCTGCTCCTTTACTTCGATAGTCCTCTGAGAAGTCATTCCACAGCAGGCTGCTTCCGTTTCAAATTGCGTTCGTAACTTGAGATTATTTGGGGAGCAGTCTTCATTAGCTCTACTCTTGTGAACCATCGATCTTCTTTAAGATCAGTATGGTGTCCGAACCGCACTCGGTACTGTATTTGCAGTTTCTGAGGGTGTCCCCTGCCTGGAGGCTTGGGCACAGGCATCAGCTTGTGCTCGACAATGTCGTCAATGTCCATGTGTCCGTCCATGGTTGGGGGCAGCATTGATCGCCTGGAGGGAAACTGTTCTTTTTCAGCGAAAGGTGCCAACTTGGATGCATCGAAAACAGGGTGTGTGCGGAGGTGACCAAGGATGTGAATAACGTATGATGGGCCATCAGGTTGATCTCCTACTATGCCCAGAATTTCCCGAGGTCCAAAGTACTGCGGCATCAGTTTACGTGAGATTCCCAACTCCTGTCCCAACTCGGATGACTTTACCCAGACTCGTTCACCTACCTGAAATGCAGACAGTCGTCTGTGTCTGTTCTCAGATGCAACCATCTTGAGCTTTCTTGATGCGCTCTACAGCCTGCTGCAGCATCTGTTCGTACGTGACAGCAAACTCTATGCTACCAGGCGCTGCGATTGGCTGCTTTTTAGGCAACAGGAAGTCAAGAGCAGATCGGGGTGTCCTTCAGGACATCCTTTAAAATCGGAACGATACAGAGAAGATTAGCATGACCCCTGTGCAAGGATGACACACAAAAGTCGAGAAATGGTCCAAAAAAAAAAGAAGAGCAGATCTGGGCTTCCAACCAAGATGCAGCTGGTTCGGGTCTTACCGGTAGTGCTCTGCACAGCATTGTTGTACAGGCTGGCGATGAGAGATAACTGCTCATCCCAGTCATCTGCTCGGCCTGCCCATTTGACTCAGGGTGGTACCTGATTTCATTTGCAGTCGGGTGCCCATGTGTTGGTCTGTACTTTGCCACAGTTTGCTAGTGCATCTGACATCCCTGTCGCTCGCAATAGACTTCGGGAGACGGAAGTCACGTACCAGTTGTCCATAAATAGCTTGATGACGTGGTTAGTCCTACCGTCTTCCCCCGAACATAACACACCCTAAAAATGAATGTATACAAGCTATATTTCCGGCCAGATACAGCCAAAATGAGGGTGCGTTGTGTTCGGGGGAAGACGGTAGCTGTCTCAGGCATAACGATTAGTCTATCATACGTAGTGAACCTGTCCACAATGACAAAGATGTGTCGTTTACCGCTCTCGCTGGACACAAGGGTGTGCATGAAATCCATGGACACACTTTAACCTGGGTCAGCAGGGATCCGTTAAAATCGGAGCGATACAGAGAAGATTAGCATGGCCCCTGTGCAAGGATGACACACAAAAGTCGATAAATGGTCCAAAAAAAAAAAGAAGAGCAGATCTGGGCTTCCAACCAAGATGCAGCTGGTTCGGGTCTTACCGGCAGTGCTCTGCACAGCATTGTTGTACAGGCTGGTGATGAGAGATATCTGCTCATCCCAGTCATCTTGACTTGGCTTAATATAATGCCGAAGCAAGTGCTGCACTACCCGGTTCATCTGCTCGGCCTGCCCATTTG